AATTATTACTCCTCATTTGCAGCACCTTTGCAGATCAATCATTTCTCCGTGTCAACACGGATTTATACAACGTAAATCCACAATCACAAACCTTCTAGAGCTCACTACACTTGTGATAAAAGGCTTCAATAGTAGTTTTCAAACAGACGTCATTTACACTGACTTTAGTAAAACATTTGACTCTGTAAATCACTTACTTCTTATTCATAAACTTGACCTTTTAGGTTTTCCAGTTGATCTGCTTAAATGGATTTCAAGTTATCTGAATGGCAGGTCACAAAGGGTCCTTTTTACATTATTTATTAACGATCTTCCCTCAATTATAAGTCATTCTCGCGTACTTATGTACGCAGATGATGTTAAGATGTGCCTGCAGTATAAAGACATTTCCTGCCATTTAGACTTGCAATCCGATCTAGATAATTTTCAAAACTGGTGCCGAGATAATTTACTAAATTTAAACGGTTCCAAGTGCAAGTTGATGACTTTTTATCGGGCCAATCCGATATACGCGACTTACACGTTAAGTGGCAGCTCTTTGGATAGAATAACTCTTGTAAACGATCTTGGCGTTCTCTTGGACCCTAAACTAAAATTTTCTAATCACATTTCGTCCATGGTTAATAAAGCCAGAGGAGTGCTTGGATTTATTAAAAGGTGGTCAAAAGAATTCGATGGTCCTTATTTGACTAAAACTTTATTTATTTCGCTAGTCCGTCCGACTCTGGAGTATGGGTCTCCCGTCTGGAGTCCACAATACGGAATACATATTGGTCGTATTGAATCTGTACAAAAAAACTTCCTTCTTTTTGCTTTACGGCGCCTAAACTGGGATGCAAAGCTTATCTTACCTTCTTATTCTAGTAGACTTCTTTTGATTAATTTACCATCCCTAGCCAACCGTAGAACGATACTTGGTACTGTCTTTATTTATAACCTTATACATGGTGATATTGACTGCCCCGACTTGTTAAGTCGGCTAAACTTTTCTGCGCCAAGTAGATTAACTAGAAATTATTTTCCACTAATTTTAAATCATTGTAGATCTAACTATGCCTTGCATGAGCCTTTCAGAGTATTATGTTCTGACTATAATAGACTTTTTCCTGTAATATCAAATCTTGACTCTCTGCCGCTCACAAAATTGATCTTACTATTACTTTTTTCCCCGGACTTTTACCTATATTTCTTTATCTCGCGTCTATCTTCTCGCGAATCGTGCCGTACGATACACGGCTGCGCCCCTCGGTCGGTTGGGCGGGTAAGTGGGCCGTGGGACTCCGCGCGAAAAAAAAAAAAAAAAAAAACCTTATTCACGGGGATGTGGAGAGTCCCAAATTACTGGGTCGCATAAGCTTCTCCGTGCCTAATAGAATTACCAGGAACTATGTTCCTCTTATTTGTAGATCTAACTTTGATATGCATGAACCGTTTAGAGTACTGTCTAACGACTATAATAGACTATACCATGTTATTTCTACTACCGACTCTTTGCCAAGCCTAAAAGCATTAAGTTTATCGTACTTAGCACAAAATTAGTATTAGTATTAGTCTCTTAAGTATTTCTAATATTAGTCTGTCCGTTTCTACAATGTCCTTTTTAACTTCTCGCGATCTCGTTTTTACGCCTATTAGGCTCCGCGCGTAACAAGCACTGCTTGGTGTCGTAAGGGCCACTTGTTTGCGCTGATCATAGTGCATCAACGTCCGAACTAATTAGCTGTTTCTTTTTATAACACTGCTGTCTCACCAGCACCCCAGTGATAGAGATATGTCCGACCGTGCATGGTTTATATATTAGAAATAAAATAAATAACTCCCTTCCGCTTTTTTGCTCTTTATTCAATGCAACGGATTTAGCTACAATATGAGCCGTTTTGTGTTCCCATTTAGACGGCAACTTCATAATACACTCCTCGTAGAAACTTCCCTCCTTATTTTCGAAAAACTCTGACTGCCACTTTTCACAACAGTCATTTGAGCCCAACTTTACACCAGTAAGGGCATTCGCCATGGACAGGAACAGGTGGTAGTCACTTGGCGCTATGTCCGGGCTATATGGTGGATGCGATAAAATCTCTTCTGACGAGTCATCAAAGACGTGTGTGGTCTGGAGTTGTCCTGGTGAAACACAACACCCTTCCCGTTGGCCAATTCTGGTCGCTTCTGGTTAATCGCCAGCTTTAAACGGTCCAGTTGTTCGCAGTAGATGGTAGAATTAAGCGACTGGCCATATGGAAGCAGCTCATAGTGTATGATTCCCTTCCAATCCCACCAAACACAGAGCAAAACTTTCCTGACCGTCAATCCCAGCTTTTGGACGATTCACCGGTCTTCAACCATGACCGTTTAAAAAATTTGGTGACTAACTCCTATCTTCTCGGTGATGTCACGAGATGTCAGCTCGATGTTTTCCGCCGGCTGCCTTATCCATGGTGTCGTTTTCACCTGCTCTGAACCGTCGAAACCATTCCTCCGCGGTTCGAAGTGATAGAGTACCATCCCCTAAAACACCATTCATTTCACGGAATGTTTCTCAAGCAGAAAACTGCGCGAATTTCAATGTTAGTGAATGCCATTAATTATAAAGGCTATCCCTAAGCTTTTTAAAAATATTATTACTACTATGGATTATAACTATTTTGGAGCTCAAGGATAGCCTTTATAATTGATGGCATCTACTTGTTACTTTTCTTGTGATTTACAAACTACAAATTACATATGATTCCCTTTAAATATGGGGAAATTTAATAGAAATTTTTAGAGTTAAGGTAAACCATTTTAAAAGAGGTTTAAACAGGTCTTCAGCATAATTCCTAAGCACACACCAAGAATACTATTGGGACCTGGCTAACAAACAGGCTTAACACGTAGAAAATCAAAAATATCATACGTATATTCGCACGCTGTTATCAGTTTTCGGCATAACAGCAAGAGTAGTAAAACTTCGGCTTGCCAGAGTTAGTATCGATTTCGTTTAAAATGTTTCATAATTTTTTCCAGTGACAACTTACAAAATTTGCCCAAAACTTGTCACAATTTAAAGTTAAGAAGAAAGTAAGCAAACTTCCTTATATACCCTTGCAGTTATTATTATTTCGATTTCTCTGCCTATATTACTAAAAACAATGAAGCAATGTCGATTTTGCGCTACATTTTGACATCGTTTCTATGGCAGCTATATGATATTGTTGTCCGATTTTGACAAAACAAAAAGCGTAATTCTGATATAGTAAATATATCTGAAAGAAATATTTTGATAAATATAAAAAAAAAAGAAAATTCATATTTTTATACCCTTGCAGAGGGTATTATAATTTTGGTCAAAAGTGTGCAACGCAGTGAAGGAGGCATCTCCGACCCTATAAAGTATATATATTCTTGATCAGGATCACCTCCTGAGTTGATATAGCCATGTCCGTCTGTCCGTCTGTCCGTCTGTCTGTCCGTCTGTCCGTCTGTCTGTTTCTACGCAAACTAGTCTCTCAGTTTTAAAGCTATCGAATTGAAACTTTGCACACACACTTCTTTCCTTTGCACGCAGTATATAAGTCGGAACGGCCGGGATCGGCCAACTATATCCAATAGCTGCCATATAACTGATTGATCGGAAATGCCATAACTTTCGTTTTTGTAAAGTTAGGAAGTTGGGATTTTCTATGGGTTTTATATTTGGCCAATCAATCCGACCTACCAAATTTCATAAGGATCGGCCGACTATATCCTATAGCTGCCATATAACTGATTGATCGGAAATGCCATAACTTTGGTGTTTGTAAAGTTAGAAAGTTGGGATTTTCTATGGGTTTTATATTTGGCCAATCAATCCGACCTACCAAATTTCATTAGGATCGGCCGACTATATCCTATAGCTGCCATATAACTGATTGATCGGAAATGCCATAACTTTGGTGTTTGTAAAGTTAGAAAGTTGGGATTTTCTACAGGGGTTATATTTGGCCAATCAATCCGACCTACCAAATTTCATAAGGATCGGCTATATCCTATAGCTGCCATATAACTGATTGATCGGAAATGCCATAACTTTCGTGTTTGTAAAGTTAGGAAGTTGGGATTTTTTATGAGTATTAAGAATGCATCATAGGAATAATTTTGGAGAATATAATTATAGAGTATTCTGCAAGGGTATATCAACTTCGGCTCCGCCCGAAGTTAGCTTTCCTTTCTTGTTTTGATATCCTATGGGAGCTATATAATACAGATGTCCGATTTTAATTTAATTAAAACCGTAATTCCATAGTATTTAATTATTACCAAATCCCAAAGAACAAAAAAATATTAAAAACAACAAAGTTATACTTTTTTTAGTTTTTATTTTCGATTGTTCCTATGGGAGCTATTTGATATAGTCGACCGATCCGACATATATACTACCTGCAAAGAAATACATTTTTTAGGAAAGTTTTAAGCAGACAGCTTTAAAACTGAGGGACTATTTTGCGTAGCATCACCAGGAGAGTCGATCTAGCCATGTCCGTCTGCCCGTCCGTCCGTCAGTCCGTCCGTTTCTACGCAAACTAGTCCCTCAGTTTCAAAGCTATCAGCTTGAAACTTTCCCAAAAATTGTCTTTCTATAAGACGGAACAAGCCGGGCGACTATAATTTTTAATTGTTATTTTTATTTTTTTTGTTTTTTGGGGATTTGGTAATATTTAAATACTACGGAATTACAGTTTAATTAAATTAAAATCGGACATCTATGTCAAATAGCTCTCATAAGAAAATCGACAAATTAAAAAAAAATAGAAATAAAAAAAATGTTATTTTGCTGTTTTTCTATTTATCAATATATTTCTTTGAGAATATCAGAATTACGCTTTTAGTTTTGTCATAGAAACGATGGCAAAATGCAGGGCAAAATCGTATCATTGTTTTAGTAATATAGGCATGGAAATCGAAATGTTGTCGTTTTGTAATAACTGTAAGGGTATATAAACTTCGGCTTGCTTCCTTTCTTTTTTATAAATATAATTACGAACCTTGGAATAACATTGTTAGGCACCTCAAGGTTCCCACCATCAACTCGGCTACCGTGCTCAAATTTGTTAGTGGATACTCCCTGTCCGGGAGTCGCACTTATGTTTCCGGCCTCACTTCGATTACCGACAAAACTGTTATTCGATTGTCTCTGATTCCCGGCCAAATCACTATTAGAGCCAGATGTAGGAATATTTCCAACACCAAAACCTGAAGATCCACCTATTACAGAAACGGCACCGGCGATTTTGGGCGCTTGTGAAATACGTCCTTTCGATGGTACATTGACAACTGGGTCATCTTCCCCTTCCTCCTCACTTGAACTAGGATCAATCATGATGAGATAAACTCGACCCGGATTTTTTCAGTTTCAATCCTGCAATTGAGAAAAAGGGAAATTGTTTGATTTAGAGGATATTATTTTTTTTGGAATGATTGTTATATATAATGTGTATTTTAATAAAAAAATAAAATCGACATAGGATTAAAAACCCGCGAAAAGCCCAAAAGCACAAAAGTTGTAGTCCTTTTTAACCAATTTCTTAAATTTTGCGACTCCCAGCTTACTCAGAGCAAAGCCACAAATCACAATTATTATTTTATATTAAGATTAACTATTAATTAGATTTAACGCTTAGTTCTGTGCTTTGTGTGTCGTTATTGTATTTATTTCCCTGCTGTCCTGCGGCAACGGTATTACTCTTTCTTGGCTAAATTCTACCTGTGGGGTTTAATATAGCTAAAGGAGTTGTTGGAACGGCAAAAACGATGCCGATTTATAACAGTCATTGTCTATCTCTTATCGAGAACCCAATCTCAGAGGGTTTAAAATAATTTTTTTCTTAAAAATTTTCACTAAGGCAATTAAAGAGATATTCTTGACATAGACTTATATATGTTTAGTTGAGCGGAACGTTGTTAAATGAAATTCCCACAGCAACCCTATATCCAGCGTGGGTAAAATCTTAAGTAATATTTTCGGAAGTTGGTTGGGATTCGTCTCCTTAAGGGGGTATATACCTTTTTTTGTCGAAAAAAAATAAGAAAGTTTGGATTTTTTTATGTATGTAACTATTGTTTTTATTAAATGAATGATTATATTTTCTGAAAGTTTAGATTGTTGACAATGTTTATGCAAACATTTTTGAAAAAATATTTAATAGTTTTTAAGGTGTGGCTGTTTCCCTTAAACGCCTTTTTTTTAAAGAGCCTTGCGGTGATAATTCCCCAGGACGAATGGGTCAACTGATACCGAAAAAATAAAAATATTTCATTAGTTTAAAGTAGTATCCTGTACTTGAACGAACGTTTTTAAACAAATTTTTTTTTTGTGCATACGGGAACGTTTAATGCAAAAAATGACGTTTTTGGACGCGAAAATTCTTACAAAACAATCTATTTCGGCGAAATAAAAATTTTTACATGAAAAAAACGATCGTTCAAGTACTAATAAAATTCATTACGAACATTTAAAAAAAAAATTGAAGAAAATCGGCTCAGTAGTTTTTCGCCAATCCATATCACCGCAAAGTCATTTTAAAACAAGAAAGGAAAGCTAACTTCGGGCGGAGCCGAAGTTGAAATACCCTTGCAGAATATTCTGTAAATTATATTCTCCAAAATTATTCATATGATGCATTCTTAAACTCATAAGAAATCCCAACTTCCTAACTTTAAAAACACCAAAGTTATGGCATTTCCACTCGTTCAGTTATATGGCAGCTATAGGATATAGTCGGCCGATCCTTATGAAATTTGGTAGGTCGGATTGATTGGCCAAATATAAAACCCATAGAAAATCCCAACTTCCTAACTTCACAAACACCAAAGTTATGGCATTTCCGATCAATCAGTTATATAGCAGCTATAGGATATAGTCGGCCGATCCTTATGAAATTTGGTACGTCGGATTGATTGGCCAAATATAAAACCCATAGAAAGTCCCAACTTCCTAACTTAACAAACAGCAGAGTTATGGCATTTCCGATCAATCAGTTATATGGCAGCTATAGGATATAGTCGGCCGATCCCGGCCGTTCCGACTTATATACTGCGTGCAAAGGAAAGAAGTGTGTGTGCAAAGTTTCAATTCGATATCTTTAAAACTGAGAGACTAGTTCGCGTAGAAACAGACAGACGGACAGACAGACGGACAGACGGACAGACGGACATGGCTATATCAACTCAGGAGGTGATCCTGATCAAGAATATATATACTTTATAGGGTCGGAGATGTCTCCTTCACTGCGTTGCACACTTTTGACCAAAATTATAATACCCTCTGCAAGGGTATAAAAAAACCATTTCGAGATATTCGCGTTTAAAGTTTCAAGTTTGGGTTTGGGCGGGGACGAGGCGCGCGGCTAGGAGCGCTGTAACTTTTTTTCTACAGTTCAAATCTCTATGAAAATTTTGGGAAATATTCTCAAGAAGTTGTTCTTTAAGATAAAGCAAAAAAAAAAATTTCGATTTTTTGAAAATGAAAAAGGTATATACCCCCTTAAATAGAGCCATATCGCTGCTCCACATATACTGCTGCTGCTTGCCCTCTGCGACTGGCAATTCGCTTGTTTCTGAGGCCGTAACGACTCCACGGAGACTTTGGATGATATGCGAAACTCCGTACCGGGGCCGGCAGGGTGTATAGCAGGTTCTGCATTTTCGCCTAGCCACATTTATCGAAGGCACCTGGAGATACGTCTGGGTTTCGTGGATATGGTGTATCGGCTAGTAGGTAGAACAAGGATTCGCCATTTTGCCAAGCCAACTTTATCGCAGACTCTACGCAAGAGCTTCTGAATTAAAACACGACCTAAAAGGTTGGATCTCAGCGTTGCCGCCTCAGCCTTGTAGACTCGTCGTCGTTACTTGCTCACTGATTTCGCTTGCCCTCACTCTGATTGTAACACTATTATTGGGGGCTGCGCTTGCGCCGTCTTTTTATAGCCCGAGGTGGTCCCGTTATTTTTTCCTTTCAGCTAACGTAATCGGGTTCACAAAAACCGGTTGAAGACGGATATTTTTATACCCTTGCAGAGGGTATTATAATTTTGGTCAAAGGTGTGCAACGCAGTGAAGGAGACATCTCCGACCCTATAAAGTATATATATTCTTGATCAGGATCACCTCCTGAGTTGATATAAGCATGTCCGTCTGTCCGTCTGTCTTTGCACACACCCTTCTTTCCTTTGCACGCAGTATATAAGTCGGAACGGCCGGGATCGGCCGACTATATCCTATAGCTGCCATATAACTGAACGATCGGTGATGCCATAACTTTGGTGTTTGTAAGGTTAGGAAGTTGGGATTTTCTATGGGTTTTATATTTGGCCAATCAATCCGACCTACCAAATTTCATAAGGATCGGCTATAGAATATAGTCAGCCGATCCTTATGAAATTTGGTATGTCGGATTGATTGGTCAAAAATAAATTCCATAGAAAATCCAAACTTCCTAACCTTACAAACACCAAAGTTATGGCATTTCCGATCAATCAGTTTTATGGCAGCTTTAGGATATAGTCGGCCGATCCTTATGAAATTTGGTAGGTCGGATTGATTGGTCAAATATAAAACCCATAGTAAATCCCAGCTTCCTAACTTTACAAACACCAAAGTTATGGCATTTCCGATCAATCAGTTATATGGCAGCTATAGGATATAGCCGTTCCGACATATATACTGCGTGCAAAGGAAATAAGGGTGTGTGCAAAGTTTCAATTCGATATCTTTAAAACTGAGAGACTAGTTCGCGTAGAAACAGACAGACGGACAGACGGACATGGCTATATCAACTCAGGAGGTGATCATGATCAAGAATATATATACTTTATAGGGTCGGAGAAGTCTCCTTCACTGCGTTGTACACTTTTGACCAAAATTATAATACCCCCTGCAAGGGTATAAAAAGGGCACCTGTTCCCCCTCCAAGTCACTCTGCAACCGACCGCGATCAGAGAAGGTGAGTTTTACGCTTGGGTGTAAGCAACCTGTCTGAGAGTTAATTGTGAAGTCTCTTTCTTAGGATAGGGTCTAGTACCCCGTCCAAGTACATTGTAGATAGTTAACCTTCCCCTTCCTCTCTTTACCCACTCCCAGAAAGACCGACCGTCATCAGTGACAGTAGATCTTGGAGATTCCACCACCCACTCCCGACTTCGAGGGACGAAGCCGCCATTAGTGACAGCCGACTCCAATCTCGAGCCATCACTCGGTTCACCGAGTCGATCACCCGCTCGGGTCCCACTTGGCTCGCCGGGCTAACTTTCGCAGACCCACAGTGGGGTGCGTCGTCTCATAACCTGGAAAACCGAAGTGGCCTCCAAAATTTCTCTCATAACCTGGAAGACCTAAGTGGCCTCCAAACCTCTCTCTCATAACCTGGAAGACCTTAGTGGCCTCCAAACTTTCTCTCATCACCTGGTCCCACTCGGCTCGCCGGGCTAACCTTCGCAGACCCACAGTGGGGTGCGTCGTCTCATAACCTGGAAAACCGAAGTGGCCTCCAAAATTTCTCACATAGCCTGGAAGACCTAAGTGGCCTCTAAGCTTTCTCTCATCACCTGGAAGACCTAGGTGGCCTCCAAACCTTCTGTCACCCTGGCAGACCTCAGTGGTCTCGGGACGTACCTACCCAGACGTAAGGGGAAACATATGATGGGCTTGTCCAGAGGGGCCACGTGGCCGAGGCATACTTTCCGGCGCAAACCAAAGCCCTTCTTTCTCGCCCAAAGGACGCCACCCGCTGCGCAACTACCGAAGGACGACCAGTAGCGGCTCACGACCACGCTAGACGACAACGCCGACGTACGGACCCGCCTCGTCGCACTATCTTTGTCTTAAACTCTGTAAAATTTAAGTTGAACAAGAAAGGAAAGCTAACTTCGGACGGAGCCGAAGTTGTATACCCTTGCAGAATATTCTGTAAATTATATTCTTCAAAATTATTAATTTGATGCATTCTTAATACTCATTAAAAGTCCCAATTTCCTAATTTTAAAAACACCAAAGTTATGGCATTTCCAATAGTTAAGTTATATGGCAGCTATAAGATATAGTCGGCCGATCGTTATGAAATTTGGTATGTCGGATTGATTGGCCAAAAATAAAACCCTGTAAAATTTAAGTTGAATAAACGTAATACCCTTTATTTTCACCTAACCCCTCCCGTGTCATACTCTGGAAACCGGGTCCAACTCTTACAGCAACCACTCCTGACATAAATAAACATGTTGGAACGAACACCTGGACACCGTTGAACTATCTCAGCACAGCAGGACCGTTACTTGGCGCCCGAGCAGGTTAAAGTGGTTGTTAAGAGGAAGACGCCGATAGAGAGTTATGTCGACCTGGGTGTACCTAGCAACGAAGGCGGAT